CCTTCAGGACCAGTCAAGACCTGGGGGGCTGTCACAGCCGGTGTAGGTTACCAAGCTTTTTGGTGGAAGATACTCTACCTATATGATCCTAGAAATGATACAAAAGGGTGAAAGTCAGAAATATTGATTAAAAACTGCTTCAAACCTTTAAAGAATGATTATTTCCACTGTGAAATCTTTAATAAGATTCTTTTCGTTTTGGTGGGACTGGGGTTTGAACTCAGGGCTTCACACTTGTAAAACAGGCACTCTACTACTTGAGCCACTCCTTCAGTTCATCTTGTTCTGGTTATTCTGGAGATGGGCTATTTGCCCTGACTAATCTTTTGCTGATCCTCCAGATCTCAGTCTTCCCAGCAGCTAAGATTATAGGTGTGAGCCACCAGCACCTGGCTACAAAATTCATTTTAAAAGTTTCTCAGCTGGATGTGTTAGTACACACCTGTAAGGTCTGCATTCAGATTCAGGAGGCAAAGGCAGGAGGATCATGAGTTCAAGGCCAGGATGGTCTACATAACCAGGCCCCGGCTCAAAAAAACAAGGGCTGGCAGTGTAGCTCAGTGGTAGAGAACTTGCCTAGCAAGTGCAAGACCATGGACCAATTCCCAGCATGGCAAAAAATTCTTTAAATCAGGCAAACTTTAAATATTTAAATTTGGGAAATCAAAATTGATGTAAATCCTGAATATTAATCTCATAAGCACTGATAGCAGTCTTGCTCAGAGCCAAAGACACTGTATATAGTAGACTGGAGTCAGTGAATGAGAGGTGTTTAACACTGAATGCATGCTGCTAGAACCAATAGTTCTGGTGCTCACAGTCATCAACCAGAAAGCACTTCTTCTGGATAGCCTCACACCTACTCTGAGTGGAGCCGTGTGGCCACTCCCAGGGATGGGCTTCAAAATACATACATCACCAGCCATCCAATGAATGGGAAAGCAACCTTATCCATTTCTGCTACCAAAAAAAAATTTTTCCCACAGGCTCACTACACTTGTTTTTATATTTGACACTTAAAAAGACTTATTTTGCAATTTTTGTGATTCAGAGCTACATAAGAAAAATAGAAGGTCAGTCACCGGTGGTTTATGCCTGTAATTCTAGCTACTTGGGAGGTGAAGATCAAGAAGATCATGGTTCAAAGCCAGCCCAGGCAAATAATTCACAAGACCCTATCTCGAAAAAACCCATCACAAAAAAGATGTAGACTCTGGGTTCAAACCCCAGTACCACAAAAAAATTAAAATAAAAAAAAAAAGAACTGAAGGCAGGTCACAGAAGACAAGTCCTTTCTATAAAACCCTCCTTCAAAGGTGGGGAATATAAGATTACTCCAAACACAATGTGAAGATTTAATCACCTTCTAAGACTAAGTTTATTCCTACAAAAGTTTATTGTAATCAGCAGCAACAATAACTGACAGGTTATTACATTGTGACATGTTCTGCCTTAGGTGTATAACATGGATACTTACAGAATCCACTCAAATGCCCTATGAAACACATGCAATTTTATTATTCCCAATTTAGGGATTGACAAACTGAGGCTTATACAAGTTAAGTGATTTGTTCAGTTATACAAGTGGCAGCATCAAAGCTCAAGGTGAACCTAGCTGATACTTAGACCTCTGCTCTTAATCACTGTCCTCAGTTAAAATTTAAATTCTCAGGCTGGAGAAATGGCTCAAATAGTAGAGCACTTACCAAGCACAAGGCCCTAAACTCAGACCCCAGTACCACCACCACCAATAATAATAATAAAACAAATTTTCCTTTCTACCTGGATATGTTGACACAACTTTAAGCCCAACTCAGGCTAGGATATACAGTGAGTTGAAGGCCAGCCTGGGCTACACAGTGAAATCCTGTGTCTAACAGACACACTCTCCTTTCTAAATAACGTCATCTACTTCTTCTCCATGCTGACTTTCATCAACCTAGGATTAAGCCTTAAAACAAAGAAAGCTCTAATTTTAACAGTACTTCAGCATCTAAGTGAAGTAGAAAATCCCAGAACCTTCACTTTGGCATCCAATCCAAGACCTCCTGAAATGCCAATCCAATCACATTTCAAGATACAAATCTTTTTTTTTTTTTTTTTAGCGGGGGAGAGGGGGTAGTGCTGGGGCAGAACCCAGGGTCAAGAATGCTAAACAAGCATTCTACTATACTATATCCCCAGCATCTAAGGATTCCAATCTTTCAATTCAGATTTTATTCGTTTCCTAAATCCCATTGGAAAAAACATGCTTGGTCAGGAAGAGGACCATTCCTAAAGCTTAAATTCCAAGTTTCTCAGTTTGGTAACTATACTGTGCTTTGGGACTTTAAAATTATAAGCACTCAGAGGAGAACATTTCCTTTATTAGCAACTAGCTTTGAAAATTCCATTCTAGGATGCTAAATATAACAAAATACCTCTGACTTTATAAATAAGCACATTCTCCAGATTATTTCTGATAACAGTGATTGTCTATTAACCAGCTGGGTTGGCCACAGCACTAAGTGCTACTATAACCTTTTGAGGAATCTTTCAGATTTGTTCTAGCTCTTTTAAAGAATTGACCTAAAAATTGTTCTCTGGATTTTTCTACTACGAGATAAGAAAGTTCCCATTTCACAATTCATTTCCCTAAGACATCATCCTTGTGTTGTTATTTCTAACATCCTTGGATTGTAACACAGGGCACTGGCAAAGCCAGAATCATGGACACAGATTTTTCTCCAACCTATGAAACATAATAAATCAGGATTTGAAAAAATTTTATTACACATATATACATTACACATATATATATTTATCATGCTGGAGGCATAATTCAAAGGGTACAGTGCCTATCTAGCAAGCACAAGGTCCTGAGTTCAAACCCAGTACTGCCACTGGGGGCTGGGGCTCCTGACTGTAATCCTAGCAACTCAGGAGGCAGAGGTCAGGAGCATCATGATCTCAGGAGTTTGTGAGACCCTATCTCAAAAAAAACCCAATACAAAACAGGGCTGGAGGAGTGGCTGAAGTGGTAAAGCACCTGCCTAGCAAGTGTGAGGCACTGAGTTCAAACTCTAGTACCACAAAAAAAAAAAAAAGTACTGTCAAAAAAAAAAAGCAATGCATTTTGCAATTTTTAAAATATGCCCTTACTAAAATTCCCATAAATGACAATTCAAAAACACTAAATAAGGGGCTTAGGTACTGATTGCCTTCTTCTGGGCTAATAGCTACAACAGGCTTTTAACAGAATGCATATCTGCTATATTTTAGGGAAGGGTATGCACTTAACAGAACTCACAAACACAGGCATCCTTTAATTGTAGAAGTGGTTTAAGTGCAACTGTAATTATTAAGGCATCTATAGTTGGACAGTTCCTCATGTCCTCCCTACCTAAACCATGGATGTGAAAAGTAAGAACCAACTGACAATCTTTGAGGGATGATCAAGGAGTTGAGTGGGAGAAGCAAAAACTTTGTTTCACCTCATAACCTCATAGTTGTTTTTATTTTGCTTTGTTTACCATATCTAATTATTATAGTTAGCTTCTTTCTTCTCACATCTTCTTGGTCCACAGAATCCCACTAACAAAGTAAAATGCTACCCTTCAAAGGGTTAGAATCTTCAAATATCTGACTACTCATCAGTCATATGCTGAGTGAGTAGAGCTCTTCCCAGCCAGACTAGGGTATTCAACAGGAGCAACAGACTTCAAAGTACTTTATCTCTGCAAGATACACCTAAGTTTGTACCTCACCTAAATTTTCTCTAAAAGTTATTCTAAAAATCAAAAAATGTACAGTTATCCTAGGGCGCTGGTGGCTCAGGTCAGTAATCCTAGCTACTCAGGAGGCAGTGATCAGGAGTATTGCAGTTGGAAGCCAGACCGAGGCAAACAGTTCAGGAGACCCTATCTCGAAAAAGAAAAAAGCCATCACAAAAAAGGGAGTGGCTCAAGGTGTAGGCCCTGAGTTCAAACCTCAGTACCGCAAAAAAAAAAAAAAGATTGAACCTAAACTCCAGACAACCAATAATCTGGTGAGATTGTGGTGTCAGATTCTCCAACATCAAAACATACAAGAAATCCAGACGGTTAGGAGAAATCATGTGACCATGTGACCCAAAGCAAGCATCTACAGTAGGTCACCCGATGGCAACCCCTGAGTTAAGTAGTCTCCATCATTCTGGTCCAGACTCCCTCCCTACAGTATATTCTACACAGCACTGCGTGACCACTTTTCCAAATACACTGCTTCTGAGCATTGCTAACTCGAAAAGCACAAATACTACCACTAAATGCCAAACCTTAATGTTGTCATTCACACAGCCATTCTCCATCTTCCTCAACTACCCCATGCAAACCGTGCACTTCCAACCAAAGTAGTCTACCCACCAATCGGCTGAGTTCTTGTCAAGATGGCCTCCTTACCTTCCTCCTTCACCCCCCAACAATGCCCCCACTTGGCGCAGTAAACAAGCCCACCACTGAGAACAGACCCTCCAAAACCTGCTGAATAACAGGCTGGTTCACTCTGTGAGTCAAAACCCCTCTGTGATCAAAGCCAACGGGTTTAACCTCCAAGGCGGGGTTTAAATCTCCCAGGAGACAAACCCTTCAGCCTTGATCCCCTCGCCCCAAAAACTGTAGTAGCATTTTTAAGGGGAACACACAGCCCAGTCGCGGTTAGAGAAACCTCCCGGCAATAGGAGGCTCTGCAGCGTCATGAGATTTCACACCCAAGAAGGTGTTGGGGACCCCCAACCAGCCCTGCGAGGCAGGCGGCCATGCGCAACCTGCCCAGGGTGCCATTCCCATTCCCAATCCGCCCCAGAGCCGGGACCTGCTGACCTCCCGACGCGCGCCGCGCACACCCGAGGACCCTCTGTGCGTCCCAGGGCCGGTGCCGCCTTCGCCCGCGACAGAGTCGGAGGGCTAGACTCCCCGGCTGCACGCGCCGCCCCCGGGTCCACGCCGCCCCGGTCGCGTCCACCCGGACCATGCCGCCGCTACCTTGTCCTCCGGCGTTGCATCCGGCTCGCGGGCCGCCCTCTGCCTCAGCTCTGTCATGCTGGAGACTTCTGCGCTACGTCGCCACAGACAAGCAGCGCTGCCACCAAAACGGGCAGCTTAGCGCAGGCGCACGGACTCCTCGGCCGGGTGCAAACCACCCTGCAGCTCCGCAGCGGCCCCTCCGCAGCCCGGCCGCCAGCCTAGGAGCTCGGCTCTACTCAAAGCCGCCGCCGCCGCCCTTTCTCCCGAGCCGAGCGCAACTCGCCTTCCCTAGTCTCCGCCGCTCGCTCCTCCTCCAGGGAAGAGGGCTCAGCGCGAGCGCGCACGCGCACCGTCGCCATGTCGGCCGGAGATCCGCCAATGGTGCGAACACCACGGGGAGGCGGGGCGACGGGGGAGGGACGGAGCAGAGCGAAGAGGCGTGCATTGGACGATAGCCTGAGGGGGCGGGAAAAAGGGTGCGGTTCTGCAAGTGATTAGCCAATAGGAGCTCCCGCCTGACTGCGGGCGTCCGGCGCGGGCTGCCAGGGTCCTGGAGGTAACTGGTTGCTGAGGGGCTAGGCGCCCCCTCCGAAGGTCTACAGCCTGTCGAGTACTTACTGTCCTCAGCAGACAGAGTTTGTCACACTTCAGGAAACGTTTGTGCAAGGTTACGCCCCCCACCCCCGGCAGTACTGGGGTTTGAACTTGGGGCTTGCTAGGCAGGCGCTTTACCGCTTGAGCCTCCACCCCAGGAGAGGTTTGTCAGATCCTAAACTGGAGAGGCCAGTTGAGCCGACGTGCTTAAGAGAAAGGAATCAAAGACCATAAAGGAGGGTGAATATGGTTGAGGCACTTTTTATACATGTATGAATATGGAACATTGAAACCTTGTCCATGTCATTTTAAGAAAGGAAGTGGGGGGAGAGGGAGACTAATGGAGGGGATGAACCAAACCGGGGTACAACATATGTAGATATGGAATGTTACAACGAAACTCCCCGTATAGCTATCATATACTGATAAAAACGTTTTCAAGCCGGACGCCAGTGTAATCCTAGCTACTCAGCAGGCAGAGATCAGGAGGATCACGGTTCGAGCCCAACCCAGGCAAAAATACCATAGCAAAATGGACTACAGATGTGGCTTATAGAGCACCTGCTTTGCAAGCATGAAGCCCTGAGTACAAGCCCGAGTCCCACCAAAAAAATAAGAGCACAGACCACTGTTCTATATCCCTGCCTGAATTCATTCATACCCATGTTGCTCCAGCATTGCCCTCAATGTTTCCTACTTAATGCTTTTCTTTCCTTTTTTTTTTTTAGTATGAGGATTGAACCCAAGGCCTCATGCATGCTAGTCAAACACTAAACCACTGAGCTACATCCCCAGCCCTACTTAATGCATTTTAAACAGTGCAAAACATGGGCTCCCTATCCCCAACCATCTGGCAATCTAAGGATGAGAGACGTTTGCACAAAGAGATGTTGCAATTAATTTCCTTTTGGCAATTTTGACCTGAGCTGTGAGTTTGGGGGAAAGTAGAGAGAATTCTGAACAGGGGACTATATATTCCTGATTTTTATAAGAGTGTATCTCTGCAGGCTCACGCCTGTAATCCTAGCTACTGAGGAGGCAGAGATCAGGAGGATAGCAGTTCAAAGCTAGCCCTGGCAAATAGTTCGTTTATGAGACCCTATCATGAAAAAAACACATTGCAAAAAATGGCTGGTGGAGTGGCTTAAGGTGTACACCCTGAGTTTAAACTCCAGTACTGCAAAAAAAGAAAAAAAAAGTGTATTCTCAAGTTCTTACAACAGCCCTTTAACGTGACAGTAAAATAAATTTAACAGATCCCTGAACTCTGAACTTTGTTTCCTATTTAACAGCCTTGCACAAATACCTGAGTGGGTTTTGTTGTTGTTGCATCTTTTGTTTGGAAATTATGGCCCTTCAGGCCATAATTTATTTAGCGAAAGCTTTGCTTTTTGTATTGTTTGCCTTGTCTACAAACGTAAACAACATAGTGGTGATAACTGTAAAACAATCAGTTAAAGGGCTAGCAAGTGGCTCAAGTGGTTGAGTGCCTGCCTAGCAAGTGTGAGGCCGTGAGTTTAAACCCCCAATACTGAAAAAAAAAAAAAAAAGCAAAATAACAAAACAATCTGTTGAAGACTGTATGACCGCCATTTTGACCAACGTCATTGATCACTTATTTTTTCAAAGCATTTGCATTTTATTTTTTAAACTTTTTACTAGTACATAATAGTTTTACAGGGGTTTTCATTGTGACATTTCCATATATGTGTACAATGCACCCCAGATTGGCTCATCCCCTCCACTATTCTCCCTCTTCCCTCTCCCCATTCTTAAAATGACTTTGCAAGTTTCAATGTTCCATATTCACATGTAGAAAATACATCAACCACATACACCTTTCTAACCCTCTTCATTTTCCCTCCCCTCCCATACTACCTTCCTTTATCAGGACCTGTTCTACATTCTTGTCCTTCATTATTTAAGTCTCCATTGTTCATTGTGGTTTTGCCTCAATATTTTGGGTGTGTATGTGGTGGTTCAGACCTACAGTCCCAAATGCTCAGAAAGTGAAGGAAATAGGATCACAAACTCAAAGCTAGCTTCAGGTATATATTCAGGCCCTGTCACCAAAAAAAAAAAAAAAAAAAAAGTATCTCCAGTGAATTTGAATTTACATTTGAATTTACATTCATTGTTTATTTTATGACTAATAATTTTTTCACACATTTACTAAGACTAGGACTGGACACTGGAAGCCAGATTCTCCTGGCTTTTTTATTTTATTTATTTATTTTTTTATTTTTATTTTATTTTTTTTTTCATTTTTCTTTTATTATTCATATGTGCATACAAGGCTTGGTTCATTTCTCCCCCCTGCCCCCACCCCCTCCCTTACCACCCACTCCACCCCTCCCGCTCCCCCCCTCAATACCCAGCAGAAACTATTTTGCCCTTATCTCTAATTTTGTTGTAGAGAGAGTATAACAATAATAGGAAGGAACAAGGGGTTTTGCTTTAGTGTGAAATAGCTATACAGGGAGTTGACTCGCATGATTTCCTGTGCGTGGTGTGTACTACTTCTAGGTTAATTCTTTTTGATCTCACCTTTTCTCTAGTTCCTGGTCCCCTTTCCTATTGGCCTCAGTTGCTTTAAGGTATCTGCTTTAGTTTCTCTGCATTAAGGGAACAAATGGCTAGCTAGTTTTTTAGGTGTCTTACCTATCCTCACCCCTCCCTTGTGTGCTCTCGCTTTTATCATGTGCTCATAGTCCAATCCCCTTGTTGTGTTTGCCCTTGATCTAATGTCCACATATGAGGGAGAACATACGATTTTTGGTCTTTTGAGCCATCTCCTGGCTTTTTTAGATAAATAAATTCTCCTTTTCTCTTGTTAAATGGAAAATTCCAAGCCTGGAAATAATGTCTCAGTGGTAGAGCTTGTGTTTAGCTTGCTTGAGGACCTGGGTTCAATCCCAGCCAAAAAAAAAAAAAAAGTAAAATTCCTTAAACCAATTAAATTGAGTAAGGTTTGAGCTAAGAAGACCAAAACACCATTCAAGAATAACTGTAGGACAAAATTAGAAATAAGGGCAAAATAGTTTCTGCTGGGTATTGAGGGGGTGGGGGGGAGAGGGAGGGAGCGGAGTGGGTGGTAAGGGAGGGGGTGGGGGCAGGGGGGAGAAATGACCCAAGTCTTATATGCACATATGAATAATAAAAGAAAAAAAAAAAGAATAACTGTAGGGCTGGGATGTAGCTCGGTGGTACAGCACTTGCCTAGCATGTGGGAGGCCCTGGGTTCGATCCCAGAATCAAAAAATAAAAGACTGAAAAAAAAAAAAAAGAGTAACTGTAGAGCGCCTACTAGCAAACATGAAGCCCTGAGTTCAAACTCCAGTTCTGCCAAAAAAAAAGTTCTTATAACAATTGGCCAGCTCCCCGCCAGGACCAGAGCAGGTTCTGAAAATTCCAGCCAACAATGTGATCAGATAGCATTTATAGAAAAAATAGAGGCAAGAAGGAGAAAACAACTTACTGCCTACAGCCTAATCAATCAACGAGCAATTAGTGGTGGCTGAACTGGATAATTTTTTCAGTTAATTAGTTCCCTGGGTACAGAACCTCTGTAACCACTCAAAACTCAGTTACTATGGTTAAAAGTCTACGTGGGTTTGGTCTCTTGGGCCCAGTACAGGTGCCTGGTCCAAATCTTTCTGGTCCTACAAAATGTTAAACACTCCTAATCACTTTGAGTTGTGTTCTCTGTCACAAAAACCTGAAGTATACTCAACAATGCAAGGCTTTCAGGCATACTGAAGTTTTAAGACTTACGTAGTCTTCCTTCTTGTGGGTTTCCTTATGTTAGGAAGCCCATAGCAACATCTCCAATATTTACTAAAACATTTTTCCTTTCTTACTGAGTTTACATTCACTTGAATTTAAATTCTTTATCTTGAATTTGATGAAGTTATTTGGAAGAGTCTATAGCTTTATTCTTTTCAAAATTTGAACCAATCATTAGATAAAAATTTCCTTAATTCATTCTTTCTTCCACTAATGGATAGTACCTTTATTAGATGTTAAAGAGATCCACTTTTTTTTTTTTTGGTACTAAGGTTTGAACTCAGGGCCTACACCTTGAGTCCCCCTCCACCAGCCCTTTTTTTTTGTGTATGTGTGTGTGAAAGGTTTTTTTCAAGATAGGGTCTCACAAACTATTTGCCCTGGCTGACTTCAAACCATGATCCCCCTGATCTCTGCCTCCTGAGTAGCTAGGATTACAGGGATGAGCCACCAGTGCAGCTAAAGAGATCCTCTTAAAATACAATTGGATCATGTCAAAGACCTGCTTTGGGTGACTTTCTGTTGCACTTGCAGAGACCCTACAAAGCCCTGTATGATCTACCTCACCTCTCTTTGCAATCTCACCTACATTACTCTCCCCTTTGCTCAGTATGCTCCTGTGAGAATCAACTAAAGTTAGGTCCTTTCTGCCAAAGGAGTTAATGTAAAACTATCATTGTGTAGATGTCAGCTAACCTCTCTAAATCGCTGCCTACATGCTTTGTGAAATGTTGCTTGACCTTGCAAGGTTCTTGCAGTCAAACAAAGAGCTGTTTATCACCAGCTCTTTCAAACTGCTTGCTTAAAGATGAATATTGCCCAAAAGAATTTTCTTGTTCTCTCTGCTTCCAGGTCCCACT